CCAGTGCATTAGCGATCGTGGCTTCGTATCGTTCCGGATCCTTGTCTTCGAGGGAGGTGAGAGCGTCGGCTAGAGGTCCATCGTAGTGCAGCGTCTTCTTATTGTCTCGGCCGGGCTGGCCGCCCATCCAGAACATCAACGGGCACTTATCGAGGAGCGTGAGAAAGGCATAGAAGCCCCAAGTCTCAATGCACAAGCTCATGAAGGCGACTCGGGCTTGAACAGCTCGCATCTTTGCCTTCCGGCGGTTATTCTGCGCCGTCTCCGATGCCAAAGGCGCGTACAAAGCCCACTCCCAAAAGGCACGCCGATGCATCATCCAGAAACGCCAATGGGCACGATACACAGCGCGGAAACGGATAGGATTGTACCATTGAGGTCGTCCGGTCCACGGGAAGGCGATACACCAAGGCTTCTTTCCCGCTGCTTCGGCCTTGGCGAGGATCGAGTAAACGGCAGCCTTCACGGAGTCTGATGCGTCAGGATTCAAGTCGATCAACGCCTTATACTCCGCGGACGGAACGAGTGGAGATGGTGACGGAGCAGGCTTGTCACTACTGCGTAGTTTCTTGGTCGTCTTGACAGGCGGTGGTCCGCTACGGGTTTTTCGCTTTCTACGGGTGGTCTTCTTCGCAGACGAAGTGGCTGAAGCGGTGGGCGACTTGGCAGGCGACGGTGCTGGAGCTGAGACTCCGGGCTGCGAAGGCAGAGCGACTACGGGACCGTGCAGAGAAACTGGAGACCGTTCCTCTAACAAGTCATCCACAAGTTGGTCCAGATGCGCTAGACCTGTAGATAGGCCGTTGCCTTCCAAGTGTCCTCGTAACTTGGTCCAGAACTCCCGCTTGATGGCCTTGGCGTCGTCGCCTGGCGTTCCATGTTCGTCGTAGTCGAGTGCTGCGTCGAAGAAGGCCTTGAAACGCGTGTGCTCTGCTGCTGACAGACGCTTGGACATGGCGAAAGAGAGGCTGTTGTCGTCGAGAAATGCTCGCTGCTGGGATAGTTGGAAACTGACGGATAAGTTTCTCTCGAAAGGTTAGTGGCTGACGGAAGGGACACGTCGGAGAAAAAGACGTTAGCGACTGGGTGTAGAAATGGAACGACGTGAGAGATAACGATTTGGGTGACTCGTGACGACAGTTGGGACGAGGATGCTAACGGACAACACTGGCTGGATCTCTCAGTCTTAAGCGGCGTCATTTGAGAATGGCGGAAGTACTGGAGAAGTGGTTTCACTGGAAGGATGTGGTGTGGTCGACTGTTAAGCTCCCCGAGATGGAGACTGGAGCGATGTTGGGCTGTGCTGTGGCTGGTATCGCGGTGTGGGTTGTCACGACTCCTTTACGGAACGTGGGATGGACATTAGGTGCTAGTGCGCTGGATTGCGGTACTACTATCTGTTTCTTTTGGTACACTTGTAGTGACAGATTTGTCACTACGGTGCGTGGCGCGAACGCGAAGGCACTGCCTCCCAGGGAATACGCGTGTATTTTGGTCACGTTGTTGTTCCTCGTTCCTATGGCGGTACTCCGGAACTACGAATCTCGATTTGGAATATTTGGACGATTGTGCCTTAGGTGGTGCGAGGCGTGGCATCACTCGTTCTGCCTCTTCGTTCCTGATGTGGTGCAGCTTATCTGGACGTCTTCCTGTCGTTACTTGAGGGCTATGGCTGAAAGCTGTGGTTGCCTCGATTGATCGTGTGGGCGAATATCTAACTGGTGTCTATCTCGTGATGCAACTGCTTATGTCTCTCATGTTCTACTTGCCACGCATGCTGTATGAGGGCGTGGAGGGCGTACTATGCGGATGGATGGGCGTCGCATTTGTTTCGTTACTAGTTGACGTGGTGCTGGAATTCTCGATCGCTTGTCTCTATTGGAACGCGTCGGTGCTGACGCTGGGTTGCTATAGTCACGCTACGAGGTGTTATTGGGCCTCGCAAGCAGGTGGAGTCGATCGATCTGGCATTTCAACGGCTCAACAAGGGTGGACTAAGCTCGGGAATAAGAAAGAGCGCCGGGAAGGGAGAGAGAAGGCCAGCCTCGACCTTTTGCGTGGTAGTCCGAGAAGTGGAACGTCGTCGGTGGAAAGAGATTCAATCGGAGCTTCGATTGGAACGACACCTGTCGTTCCGGATTCGACGACCACCACTGCCGTCGGACATGCTGAAGGGAACGAGGCTCGGCGAGGACTCCGAGCGTCAGTCGGGGAGAATTGTCACGGTCTACGGCTGGCAGAAGGACTGGCTATTCTGGACGAGTGTTTCCGACAGTTTAGTGCACGGCAGAAGCTTAGTGCCTCGTCTGACTATCCCGTCTCTACTACTCAGACGGCCTCGTTCCAAGTCTGACGTGGAACCAAGGAATCCAGACAGTGGGAGGGTAGTGAAGTTGGGAGTGATGTCGGTCAGGATGGGGACTATTAGGAGATACCTTCGGAGGTAGGAGAGCAGGTAGGGAAGCTCTCAGTCGTGATTTTCCTTCTTTCAACAGAAGTGCTCAAGAAACAGAAACAAGAAACAAGTTAATACATTTGCTTTACTTTTACGTATAAGTTCCTACGTCGCCGGCTTACATAAGATACACGACCCCGACGAGAGAAGGAGACCGCGACATCCGCATTTCTGAAAACGACAGACATTGCTTTTATAACTTGTACATGTAGAAAATTACCCTGGGTACAACACTTTGGTTGCAGTACCTACTGAAAGTCCTTTACCAAGATGATTGAAAAAGCCTTGCTACATTTCGACCAAACTAAAATCCACCAATTAAAATCGAAGCAGATCGAAACAGCGATCACAATTCCTCTACGCTTCTAAGAAATGGACCTATTCGGCTCAAAACAAGCCCTTAAAACGTAGCAAACATTGTTAGATCATCGCTACACAATACAAAATAGATACTGTTCTGAATGATACGTCGTTAATATATAAGTATCCTGTGATCACAACACTTATTTTCTGTCCGTATTTAGAAAAAAGTGTTTTATTAATAAGGTACATGTAGTCCCCAATTCCAGCTGCTCACGGGAGATTACCGTACCAGTAAATCATCTCAAACATTGGAACAGTACTACTGCGCACACCGTACTTTGTTAGTAGTGCAGTGATGATGTATCGTTAGCAAGTCACTAGCCTAATATTTCATACAAGCTCAGAAGTTGGCAACGCTTTCGCGAGAGGACTTTCGCTAGCCTGAACATGAGTGTCACAGGCCGCTCGGGCAGTAGAGAGACGCTATCTCGAATGAGTACAGTAGAGTCTACTGTGTCTACTGTAGACCGGAACACTGGTCGATCCCAACTGTTGGTCGCAGCAAACACATGAATTTAGTACCAGTAGAGAGTAGGTTACGATTAAAAACCAGGCGGTGGTGAGCAGGCGCGAAAAGCATAGCTGTATCAAGCCCGAGCGGGTGATTGCGAAGCACGGCCGCTCGGTATTTGCGTCGGCGGGTCCAAATGGGAGCCCACCAGTCGGCGTCGAATAATACGTCCTAAACGAGCCCTAAAATGTCCTATTTGTCCTAAAATTACAATTGTTTTTAGCATGAGATTTGTGAAGTAAGATATAACGTCTCCTGGCATCTAAGACGCTAAAAGCAAACTTCATATTTTAAGGTAGTGCTGGCAGATACTTTAAGCGACGACTACTCGTCCTTGTGCGTATGGGGCATGGAGACAAC